TCTAAAGAATAAATTTAAATTTAAAATAGAGTTACAGTTACTATTTACAATATACAAGTGCACATGGTGCACACAATGTAAGGTGACAGCAGTACAGTGAAGTAAAGTGACGTATGATGGGCAGTAAAGTGACTTTATAAAGGGCGGGGGGACAGGTTAAGAAGTGTTCAAGAGTCCAACAGCAGAGGGGAAGAAACTGTTCTTGTGGCGGGAGGTTCTAGTCCTGATGGACCGCAGCCTCCTGCCTGAGGGGAGTGGTTGGAATAGTCCATGTGCAGGGTGAGAGGGGTCGGCTGTGATACGACCAGCCCGGCCTCGAGCTCGGGCGACGTGCAGGTCCTGCAGCGATGGAAGGCTGCGGCCGATCACTTCCTCTGCAGAGCGCACAATGCGCTGTAGTCTCTGTTTGTCCCTGACTGTGGCTCCAGCGAACCACACGGTGATGGAGGAGGTGATGGAGGAGGTGATGGAGGAGGTGAGGATGGACTCGATGATGGCCGTGTAGAACTGCACCAACATCTGTGCAGGCAGCTTGGCTTTCCTGAGCTGCCGCAGGAAGTACATCCTCTGCTGGGCCTTCTTGATGAGGGAGCTGATGGTCGGCTCCCACTTGAGGTCCTGGGTGATGGTGGTGCCCAGGAAACGGAAGGACTCCACAGAGGTGATGGGGGGAGTCCATCACGGAGGGTGGGGGCGGGGGGACAGTGCTCTTCCTGAAGTCCACAATCATCTCCACTGTCTTCTTCTGGGCGTTCAGCTCCAGGTTGTTACCACTGCACCAGGACACCAGCCGGTCCACCTCCCTCCTGTAGGAGACACCAGGACACCAGCCGGTCCACCTCCCTCCTGTAGGCGGACTCATCGTTGTTGGAGATGAGTCCAATGAGGGTGGTGTCGTCCGCGAACTTGATCAGCTTCACGGAGGCGTGGCTGGAGGTGCAGTGGTTGGTGTACAGGGAGAAGAGCAGGGGAGAAAGAACACAGCCCTGTGGGGCTCCTGTATTTATAATCCGAGAGTCCGAGACATTCTTCCCCAGACGCACTCGCTGCTTCCTGTCCGTCAGGAAGTCAGTGATCCACCTGCAGGTGGAATCGGGCACGTTGAGCTGGGAGAGCTTGTCCTGGAGCAGGGATGGCAGGATTGTGTTGAAGGCAGAGCTGAAGTCCACGAACAGGACCCTGGCGTAGGTCCCCGGGGAGTCCAGGTGCTGTAGGATGTGGTGGAGGGCCAGGTTAATGGCGTCGTCTACAGATCTGTTGGCTCTGTAGGCGAACTGCAGGGGGTCCAGGAGGGGGGAGGTGAGGGACTTGAGATGGGAGAGAACCAGGCGTTCAAATGACTTCATGACGACAGACGTAAGTGCTACAAGTCTGTAGTCATTGAGTCCTGTGATCCTGGGCTTCTTCGGGACGGGGACAATGATGGAGGATTTGAAGCAGGCCGGGACATGGCAGGACTGCAGAGAGGAGTTGAAAATGTCCGTGAACACAGGAGTAAGCTCACTGGCGCAGTGTCTCAGAGTGGCCGGAGACACGTGGTCCGGGCCAGGAGCTTTGCGGGGGTGCAGCCTCAGGAAGAGTTGTTTAATCTCTTTAGCGGCTATTGTTAGGCTGGGGGCAGGGCTGATGGGTGGGTCGTTAGAGTAGTGGGGGGTGGGGGAGGGAGAGGTGTCAGGGGCAGCATCAAAGCGACTGAAAAATAAGTTCAGATCGTCAGCTAGCTTGTGGTCATCAGCACAAGCACTGGTCTCGGCGTGCTAAGCGGCGCAGAGAACGGCCTGGTCTCGGCGTGCTAAGCGGCGCAGAGAACGGCCTGGTCTCGGCGTGCTAAGCGGCTCAGAGAACGGCCTGGTCTCGGCGTGCTAAGCGGCTCAGAGAAAGGCCTGGTCTCGGCGTGCTAAGCGGCTCAGAGAAAGGCCTGGTCTCGGCGTGCTAAGCGGCTCAGAAAAAGGCCTGGTCTCGGCGTGCTAAGCGGCGCAGAAAAAGGCCTGGTCTCGGCGTGCTAAGCGGCTCAGAAAAAGGCCTGGTCTCGGCGTGCTAAGCGGCTCAGAGAAAGGCCTGGTCTCGGCGTGCTAAGCGGCGCAGAGAACGGCCTGGTCTCGGCGTGCTAAGCGGCTCAGAGAACGGCCTGGTCTCGGCGTGCTAAGCGGCGCAGAGAAAGGCCTGGTCTCGGCGTGCTAAGCGGCGCAGAAAAAGGCCTGGTCTCGGCGTGCTAAGCGGCGCAGAGAAAGGCCTGGTCTCGGCGTGCTAAGCGGCGCAGAGAAAGGCCTGGTCTCGGCGTGCTAAGCGGCGCAGAGAAAGGCCTGGTCTCGGCGTGCTAAGCGGCGCAGAGAAAGGCCTGGTCTCGGCGTGCTAAGCGGCGCAGAGAAAGGCCTGGTCTCGGCGTGCTAAGCGGCTCAGAGAAAGGCCTGGTCTCGGTGTGCTAAGCGGCTCAGAAAAAGGCCTGTCTCGGCGTGCTAAGCGGCTCAGAGAAAGGCCTGGTCTCGGCGTGCTAAGCGGCGCAGAGAACGGCCTGGTCTCGGCGTGCTAAGCGGCTCAGAGAACGGCCTGGTCTCGGCGTGCTAAGCGGCTCAGAGAAAGGCCTGGTCTCGGCGTGCTAAGCGGCGCAGAAAAAGGCCTGGTCTCGGCGTGCTAAGCGGCGCAGAGAACGGCCTGGTCTCGGCGTGCTAAGCGGCTCAGAGAAAGGCCTGGTCTCGGCGTGCTAAGCGGCGCAGAAAAAGGCCTGGTCTCGGCGTGCTAAGCGGCGCAGAGAAAGGCCTGGTCTCGGCGTGCTAAGCGGCGCAGAGAAAGGCCTGGTCTCGGCGTGCTAAGCGGCGCAGAGAAAGGCCTGGTCTCGGCGTGCTAAGCGGCGCAGAGAAAGGCCTGGTCTCGGCGTGCTAAGCGGCTCAGAGAAAGGCCTGGTCTCTGTGTGCTAAGCGGCTCAGAAAAAGGCCTGGTCTCGGCGTGCTAAGCGGCTCAGAGAAAGGCCTGGTCTCGGCGTGCTAAGCGGCGCAGAGAACGGCCTGGTCTCGGCGTGCTAAGCGGCTCAGAGAACGGCCTGGTCTCGGCGTGCTAAGCGGCTCAGAGAAAGGCCTGGTCTCGGCGTGCTAAGCGGCGCAGAAAAAGGCCTGGTCTCGGCGTGCTAAGCGGCGCAGAGAAAGGCCTGGTCTCGGCGTGCTAAGCGGCGCAGAAAAAGGCCTGGTCTCGGCGTGCTAAGCGGCTCAGAGAAAGGCCTGGTCTCGGCGTGCTAAGCGGCGCAGAAAAAGGCCTGGTCTCGGCGTGCTAAGCGGCGCAGAGAAAGGCCTGGTCTCGGTGTGCTAAGCGGCGCAGAGAACGGCCTGGTCTCGGCGTGCTAAGCGGCTCAGAGAAAGGCCTGGTCTCGGCGTGCTAAGCGGCGCAGAAAAAGGCCTGGTCTCGGCGTGCTAAGCGGCGCAGAGAAAGGCTTGGTCTCGGCGTGCTAAGCGGCGCAGAGAAAGGCCTGGTCTCGGCGTGCTAAGCGGCTCAGAGAAAGGCCTGGTCTCGGCGTGCTAAGCGGCGCAGAAAAAGGCCTGGTCTTGGCGTGCTAAGCGGCGCAGAGAAAGGCCTGGTCTCGGTGTGCTAAGCGGCGCAGAGAAAGGCTTGGTCTCGGCGTGCTAAGCGGCGCAGAGAACGGCCTGGTCTCGGGGCCTCCTCATGTCTCACACGTGCTCCACAATCCTCAGCCCGGCTCTAATTGTTTTGAGTGTTTTGATGGATTTGGCACTGAGCTCTGAATGCGGCCCGTCCAGTGTCGATCGCTGCTTTTAGACCCGGACTATAGAGATGAAAACGTTTCCTGCCACTCACAGCTTCTGAAAACAATTATAGGAACAAACAGGACAAGCGACATCTTTGTGCACTATTTAAAAACAAAAGAATCGAGATGAGACGCTGAGACCTGCTCATAATGCAAATAACACAAACATATCCTTTCACGTTTATGTAAATGGTAATGGTTTTATTGCTCAAACAGTGCTTTTAGTTAATCAGGGAAACAGTTTGATTCTTTGACCTTTGTTAAGGATCAATAACTTAGTAAAGTCCTTTGAGACGACTGATAAGATAAGATTAAGAGTAATGTACATTTCACACAGATAGAACCACTCAGACAGAAGTGTGCAACAGACAGAAGTGTGCAACAGACAGAAGTGTGCAACAGACAGAAGTGTGCAACATGTCAAAGGCTGAAAATATAGATATAATTATGTACAATAATTAAAGAAACAGTGATAAAAGCAGTGCAGGTTTTCAGACTTTTGATTTAGGGCTGAACAAGAATCTATTTGAGTTGAGCTGAAAGCGGCCTCCACGCTCCACAATCTGGATCTGAACCTCAGTTTAATGCTAACGTGGACTGTCCTAAAAAGTGTGACCTGTAACCGCTTTTATTATATGACTTGGATCGTGCGCTCTGATTGGCTGATGAGCGGTCTGATATTTTCCCATCTCGGACCGTTACCATGACGATCGGTCCGCAGCCTGTATCAGATTTGATATCTTTCCTCGTTCTCAGTGAATTCTATCATCAGGACGAGTTGGAAGAGCCAGAGGAAGTAATAACAGCAAATAACGACCAAAACACAACTCCAACAGTCAAGAAGAGATCGACAACTTTGTTACAGACCAGAAAGGTAAAACCAGGACCAGGAAAACCAAGTGGGACATGAACATCACAGATATGTAAAAAGCATTGGTAAAGACACAGACTGAGAACTGACAGCGGGCGCCTCAATCCTCTGTTCTTCATGTCACAGTTTGACACTTTGGTCAAATGTGTTTTTAGTTCAAACCCATCCATATTTGCATAAATTAAGAATAGTCATATAATAAAACATTTATTAACCTCGCCTGCTCGGTCTGTACAAAAAGACCTCGGGCTCGTTTAATAAGCCGTTAATATCACATTAAATGGCTTTTTGTTCAAAATATTGAGTAAACAAGTTGCTGAAGAAGACAAAGCCGACATGAGGCTGGTATAAACTTCTATTTTATTAGTTTGAAGAATGTGGAAGAAAAAAACTAGCTTCGTCCGGACTCTTCTTGAACAACACTTGCTGCAGTTTGTGTTTGAAACTAAATGATATAATTTTCCAGTTGTTTTGAGTTCTGAGTTAATACTGGAGAAGAGTATTGTGCATATCTTTAAAAACACCCACATTATATTATAATATTGTTCAAAGGTCCATTTCCGTCTGAAAATGTGAAACTAATATATCAGTCATAACCTAAGTGAAATATACCTTTATTACAGCCTGTAAAAAACACAAATAAAACTAAGTCATAAACAAAGACTTGACGTGAACGAATGAGTCTTTATTCAAACAATACAAAATAAGATTAAAAAAAAAAAAACCTAAACGTGTACAATGTTTGCTCAGTTTGTTCCCTCAAGGAATAAATAAATAAACAATCAGGTCTGGCGTGTGGAGCTTTGATTTGGAATCTACACCAAAAATACACATCTTTTTCTGCACAAGTTTCATAAATGAGGCATGCAGTCTTGACTCAGTCTGTAGGGGGCGCTAATGCTGCAATTTCAGGTTTTACACTTTAACCAAACCTGAGAGTTTATCAATTAACATTTTTGGAATTCAGACCAGGATCACAAAGCTCTTCACTTTAATAAAAACATACAAAGATAATACACACAAGTCAGATTTAAAACAAAGAAACAGAAGCTCCTCGTCATAAGTTTGTGTTTCCATCAGACTTTTTCTGCAAGTTCAACTTTAGAAACATGATGCTGACTGAAAACACAGTTTATAATGTTGCCAGAGTGAAATATGTTTATTGTCCAAATCTTGAATTTCATGTGTGTTGTGTCGTGTTGTGATGAAGGTTGAGATGAGCGTACACATTTACACCACCTCCTGACCTCTGACCTGTGGATATTCTGTGCCGTTCGCTCACGTCCAGATCGATAAATGCCCAAAAGTGTACATTATTTGCGTTTGCCTCATTTCCCCTGATTTGGCCGAACGCAAGTTTCATACATGAGTCTAACCTGACTCTCCAGACCCTTCTGTGTGGAGCCTCTGGTGGAGCCTCTGGTGGAGCCCCTGGAGCCTCAGGTGGAGCCCCTGGTGGAGCCTCTGGTGGAGCCTCTGGTGGAGCCTCTGGTGGAGCCCCTGGTGGAGCCTCTGGTGGAGCCCCTGGTGGAGCCTCTGGTGGAGCCTCTGGTGGAGCCTCTGGTGGAGCCTCTGGTGGAGCCTCTGGTGGTGACTCTGGTGGTGACTCTGGAGCCTCTGGTGGAGCCCCTGGTGGAGCCTCAGGTGGAGCCTCTGGTGGAGCCTCTGGTGGAGCCTCTGGTGGAGCCTCTGGTGGTGACTCTGGTGGTGACTCTGGAGCCTCTGGTGGAGCCCCTGGTGGAGCCTCAGGTGGAGCCTCTGGTGGAGCCTCTGGAGCCTCAGGTGGAGCCCCTGGTGGAGCCCCTGGTGGAGCCTCTGGAGCCTCAGGTGGAGCCTCAGGTGGAGCTCAGTGGAACTACAGGGTCTGGCCAGAGCAGGCTACATGAGTCTTTATCATAAACTGGTTTCACATAAACACTTTTGTTTCACTTTTTATCTGTTATCATGTTGATATTGGGCTCACAGCGTGTAAAAAACTTTCAAAAAATTTGACGTATGCAATGAGTCTTTATCATAAACTGGTTTCACATAAAAACTTTAGTTTCACTTGTACTTTCTGTGTCATAGATTTGGCGACAGCAAAAACAAATATCTGAACTTCTGTTTATAATGTTAATGAACAAAACTTCTGCCTCCAGTGTTTGTGCAAAAGGGAAAAAAGGCGGTGATCTAACATCCTCTCCCCCCTCTCCTCTCTCTCCCCTCTCTCTCTCTCTCCCCTCTCTCTCTCTCTCTCCTCTCTCTCCCCTCTCTCTCTCTCTCCCCTCTCTCTCTCTCTCTCCTCTCTCTCCCCTCTCTCTCTCCCCTCTCTCTCTCCTCTCCCCCCTCTCCTCTCTCTCCTCTCTCTCTCTCTCCCCTCTCTCTCTCCCCCCTCTCCTCTCTCTCCTCTCTCTCCTCTCTCTCTCTCCCCTCTCTCTCTCCTCTCTCTCTCCCTCTCTCTCTCTCCCCTCTCTCTCTCTCCCCTCTCCTCTCTCCCTCTCTCTCTCTCCCCCCTCTCCTCTCTCTCCTCTCTCTCCCCTCTCTCTCTCCCCTCTCTCTCTCCTCTCCCCCCTCTCCTCTCTCTCCTCTCTCTCTCTCTCCCCTCTCCTCTCTCCCCTCTCTCTCCCCCCCCTCTCCTCTCTCTCCTCTCTCTCCTCTCTCTCTCTCTCCCCTCTCCCCCTCCCCCTGCACTTCCTGCCCCTCTCCTGCAGGAGCTACGACCAGATGAGCATTTCCACTGAGTGTAGTTTCCGCACGGACCTGGACTGGGACCCTCAGAGTGAGAGCTCCTCCATGATCAGCTTCGACATGAGCTCCCCCCGCAGCCCCCGCTCTCCCTCCAAGAACTTCAAGGTGCGTCTGTTACACTGGGTTTGCAGACTGTTTCTGACTGTTTATGACTGTTTCTGACTGCATGGTTTCTGACTAGTTTCTGACTAGTTTCTGACTAGTTTTTGCCTGGTTTCTGCCTGGTTTCTGCCTGGTTTCTGCCTGGTTCTTGCCTGGTTTTTGCCTGGTTTCTGCCTGGTTTCTGCCTGGTTTCTGGGGACAGAGTGTGCATGTGTGTGAGTGTAAGTGGGCGTGGATGGACTGAGTGTGCAACAGCAGAGTGACCATTGGGTTGAAGATTATACTAATAATAATAATAATAACACAATTGATTTCTGAGGCGTGTTTCAGGTCATACAAGTAAAAAAGTGCATTCTAAAAACAATTAAAATACAAACTTTAAAGCCGCTTGGACAGAAGAGAGTGAGGTTTTGGTGTTCGTGAAAAGGCTTAGATCTAAACAGAGCTGGACTTTAAACATCTGTGCAGAAGTTTTGTGTTTTAAATGTTTTTATAACTTTTCTGTCTAGTTTGCTTTTACTTCTTTGAGTATTTGCATCACAGCGTTTGTAATGAAATAGATCAGATCAAATATGTGTGATTTCTGGACAAATGTGTGATCAGAAAATGCACGCCATATGTTAGGAAGCATGTGTCAGCAAACGACTATATTCTAACCATGGGCATTGTCACTTCAAAAGTCAAATTACCAATAGTTTTAATCTATAATAATTCTAACGGTACTATCTGAAGAACTTGTTTTTGGATTTTGTTTTCACACATTTCTGCTGAATAAGCCGTGTTCCAGTGCTGGTTGTTGTTGACTGCTGCTGTTTCTGCCTGTAGGGGGCAGTAGTGTAAACAAACATGTGTTATATGTGTAAAAATAAAAACGCTTCAGGCTCCTCCTTTATACAATCATTTCTCCTCAGAGTCAGAGATGAACCGGTTTGGCCTGTTCCAGTGCGTGCTCGCTGGTCACACAGACGGGGAAACACTGATGTTGTTAAGAGCCTTCTGCAAACACCACTTTCTTATTGTTGAGCATGTTTTATTGTTGTGCGACCGTTGTCATTGTGCGTCTGAGGTTCAGGATCAACAGGAAACCGAGCTGCTCACGTTAAAATGTTTGCTCAGTAAACCATAGACAAATGGTTACTATGAACATTATTATGGCGGTCAGTTTTCCAAATACATTTGTTGAACCAGGAAGTGCTGTCACTTCCTCCTCTCAGGCAGTTTGGGATGAATGAACATCAATAATCAAATTGGTAGCTAATCTATTTTAGCAGGTTTGAGGTTGGGGTCAGTGTTCTACAATGGTGTTTAATTCTCTAACCACCATAATAATGTTCATATTAACCATTTGTCTTACTGTGTTCACAGTTTTATTCCTGAGAATGTAGAATAGACATAGAGCAAAATCCCACTAACAATAATCCACTGATAATGAAAGTAAACCACAGAGAGATTTATTAGATTAAGAATATGGCTCGATAAAAACAAATATGCAAACATATTTGTAAATAGATTAGAATAGTTTTAAACTATAGAGAATCATGAAAGTAAAGTACACAGTCTAAGATTAAAAAGTGATAATAATAAGTGAGTGAAGTGTAAACAATCAGCATTAGAATAAAAGTATAGAGTAAGAAAAATTAGCTTCTAATTTGAGACTCAGCTCGTTTTTGTCTGTGTTTTGACTGAATCTGCTGAGTTCTACTGTTTTTTAATAATTTTTTAAAGTTTTTTTTTTGAATTTTTTATTTTTTTTTCACTTTATTGATTGATCAAATTGAGTGATCACATGTCATTATGTGATCAAAGGGGTGAGTGTTAGTATTAGATACAGCAATATGGCCTACGTGCAGGACTGTACAAGGACTCTGATGTGACTGTCCATGTGTGACGTGACAATGACTATATAAACTGTGTACTGACTTTATTCTGTCTGAGAGAAAGAAACAAAGGAAACCACTGGAACTTGAGAGAAACTTAAATAAACTTCCAGAGTTTGGCGCACCACGGTCCGTCTCTGTCTGCTTCATCCCTGACAGTATTTTGCGACAGCTTTTACCGTTGCGCGCAGTGGAACAGAGCTGCACATGTTGGACATTAGAGCGATATTCGATATGAGTGGTTAGCATTTCGATAATGATATTATTGTGATCTTTTTGTCTTTCTCCTAAAAACACAAGAGACAAAAAAACAAAAACATTAATGACATTCAAATGCAAATATTTATGTACATTTGTCTGTGTTTGTTGTTCTTGTTGAATGTAGATAGAAATATATTTTTTTATATGGATATCGCACGCACCAATATCGTGATAATATTTTTTGATATATCGTGCAGCTCTTGTGTATAATGTGATTCATGTATTTATTTTTTTAAATGTTTTTATTGTTATTGTTATTAATGAACCTTTCTGTAAAAATACTGCAGTTTTAGCTTCATACCTTGTTTTTAAATGTAGTTCGTGGTAATGCTGTATTTCAGGGGTTTCCAAAAGTTTGGCATAAAACCGACCACCACTTATCCACGTGTATGACAGTGTACATAATAATAATAATAGAGTTTAGATAAAGTTTATTTGTATAGAACAATTCATACACAAGGAAACTCAAAAGTGCGGAACAAGCATCAAAACATTCTGAATTTATTTTAATGTTGTGTATTTGAGTTAATCTATCCAAAGTGGGGTTAAGTGTCTTGCTCAAGGACACAACAGCAGCAGACATCAGTGGGAGTCGAGAAGTAGGTTTCATGGTGGATTCAAACCCACAACCTTCAGGCTCAGAGGCCACTGCTCTACCACAGAGCCACTGTCGCTTTAGTCCTTTGATCTGTGTTTGTCTGAGAGCCTCTGTTCGACTGCGGGTCACAGGAGAATAAAAACAGCTAGAAACAAACTTATTTTTGCAGATGAAAGAAGACGATCCAGTTTTTCAGAATCTGGTTTTATATTTTTCATAGTTTTGGGAAATAATATTCTGTGGGTTTTGAGAATCAGTGAAATCATGAAAAACGGCAGCAGTCGATGAGTTAATGTAAAATGGGAACCCCTGCTGTAGCTAACGATTATTTTGATAATTGATTATTTTGCAGATTATTCTTTTGATTAAAAGTCCAATAGTTGTTAATTAATTAATATGAGATGTGTTTTATATTTGAACAAAACAAAAAAATCACTAGTTACACATTGGTTTGAGGAAAAAAACGGCGTAAAAACATTTTCATTTGTAAACAGTTCATCTAAATTAGCTGAGTAGTCCCTGGGCAAGATGTGGATTTTATTTCTTTAATATATTATTTCTGCCCTTAAAAGACACATACAATTGTCATTAAAGAAAATAGTAACAAGTGTTGTTTAAATAAATATCTACAGCTCATGGATATACTGTACATAAAAACACACACAGTTTTTAACAGCTGCCACAGTATTTTTTTTAATAATTTTTGTTCCTGTTTTCTGTCTGTTTTTTTCATATTTATGTTTATTTTTTAAACATTTGCAGCATTCAGAGGCTACACACACACACTGGCTTATGTATTGTTCTAAACAGATCCGCTGCTGCTGCGTTGGTTTTATGATCCTCTGCAGATAAAGGCAGATTTCTCTCCGTCTCTAAAGGCACTGGAGATAACAGATTGTTTTGAATTTGTTTAGAAAGAGGAAGGGCGAGTTTCCATCCACACCCTTTCATTTTACTAGGACCAGGGACTGTGCACCATGTGAGCACCATGTGAGCGCTGATGCAAATAAGACCATGGCACAAAGCAGAAACTCTCCAGAACTCTCCGGTTTCCTTCAGCGTGTGCAGGAAACAGAACAGGACGACTCTGAATAACTCTGTCTCGCTCTCGCTTCTGTTGCTTTTGGGGAATCACAGGGTTTCCCGTAGTTTTCAATGGTATGTTGCTTATGTTGCTTATGTTGCCCTGCTCTAACACGCTCTCTGCAACTGATGACAATGCAAGTGTTATTTTCATGTTTGCAGTTTACTTTTCTGTGTTCGTTCTTTTGCCTTTTTCTCTAAATCCAGTTTCTTTTCAGACACAAGAGAACGACACAGACTTCCTCGTGCAGTCGACCCTTGCACCAAACTGTTTTATCTGCTGTAGTTATTCATTATCTGTTCACGTTCAGCAGTTGTTCTCCAAGTCTGTCTTTGATTTCAAAAGTTAAAATATGACTTTGTTGTTGTAGCAGTCGTTAAAGCTTGTGCTGTTTTGGGCATGTGTGTGTTTGTTTTTATCTCTGTGTAAATGCATAGACAGGGCGTGTGCTGTCCCACCTTCATACTTATCTGCTGTGATTTCTTCTTTCAGAATTCAGACGACAAAAAGGGAGTGCTCGACCGCATCAGCAATTTTTTCAACCACAAGAAGAGGAAGAGCAGCAGCAGACTTGCTTCAGACGCGTCCACAGGAGGCGACGATGGGCAGAAGACTCCGACCCAGTCTCCCAACGCCAGTGTGCTGGATGTGCGGAAAGGAGCGAAGAGCAGCGATAATCTGAGTCAGGTGTCCACCCCCAGCACCGCGAGTCTGGCCTCGGTGGTGCCCGGTGACTCGGAGCTGCCCTTTGCCAACAGCAGCAGCAGTGGGAGCAGGAGTAGTGTCCGAGAGGTGTCCGTGACCAAAGTTAGCACCGCAAAGGGGAATTCTGGGAACGCCACTTCGCCCACTTTAGAGATCACTCCGTCCAATACTGAGTTCCAATCTACTTTAGGCTTTGCTGACTCAGTTGTGGAGGAAGTTAGCAAAAGGCTGCAGGTACTGGAGGATGAGGAGGAACATGTCCGCACAGAAACACAGAAGAAGAAAGTCACGACAAAATCCGTTTCAAGCACTAATACAATCATCGAACCCCCAAAGTCACCGAACCTACTCTCCATCAGTCTAGCAACAAAGAAAAGCTCTGTGAAGATAGGAGAGAATGGACACAGCACTTCTCTGTCGGGGATCAGGTTAGGGAGTCAGTCCTCCACGTCTCACCTCAGCACCACACAGCACCGTGTGCCCACAGACAGCACTAAGGATCTTAAACAGACTAAGACAGTGAGCCAGGCCTCAGAGAAGCCTTCTGCAGCTAGCTCGTCACACCAGCAGGAGGACACCTCCAGGACAGAGTCCCCGGTGCTTGTCAAAGCCATCTGGGTGGAAACACACCTGGGAGAGGAGGACTGGGGCAGGGAGGGGGCGGTGGATGGTTTAATCAGAGAGTCGGAGGAGGGCTCCGGAGCGGACTCTCCTCCTGTGCTGGCTGTACCTGCTACAGTCATTCCTGAAGATGACTCACTTAGACAGAGCTGCTCTGACACAGCGGCCACCCCCAGAGAGCGCACACCGTCAGGTGGCATTCTGCCAGAGCCTGCACCCACCCAGAACTCTCCCTCTGCAGAGCCAGAGAGCACCGGCGCTGGCACTGACTCAAAACTCAAGCCTATTACCCAGAGCTCTCCAGGAGAGGTCCACGTCACACGGAAGACTGTGAGCCTGCCTTCAAAGCACCGCTTTTTCGCCCACAAGGTGAACATTAGCCCTGAGAGCAGCTCTGACGAGAACAAAACAACAGAAGAAGAACAGAGGAACAGTTCAAAGCCTGTGGACAGAAGTGAGGCTAAACTGTAAGTACAATTTGTTTTTCTTTGCTGTGGCTTTTGTTGAAAACTTCTTTTGATCCTGATGGAAAAGTAAGCAAAGAGAGTGTAGGACCCACCTGCTGCAACCTGAGCACAGAGTTCCCATGATCCTTTGTACCCGCTCAGAACAATACACACCACTGCAGAAAGCACTGAAATATTCATACAGCTCTCAGTCCAACCTCACACACACACACTTTATTATATTTATACTTTAGAAACACATCATTGTTTGAGACGAGGCTCAATCTTCTTCTTCAGAATAAGATTAAGACGAGAACAGTTTGACAGCGGGGAGTAGCTGCAGTGTTTGAGTTTTCATGGTTACTCCAGGGTTACTCTCACACATGTGAGATGGAGGCGTGGCCTCACCGTGGACTGCAGCATTTGAGTCTTACTGTTGCCTCCAACTTGTTCTTGGTCAGGTCTAAAAATACACTGACACAAAGTAATACAGAGGTATTTGTTTTATTAGTTGAGAATGTAACAATATTATATCTATTTTTATTATACCACTCCTTTTATTGTACATAATTAAATCCTGCACAGACTTTACAGTTTAACCTCTAACATGTTTCACACTTCTGTCTTTTGCACAAAGTCATTCTGTCTTTTCTCCATCAGAGATCAATAAACTCTATATTATCTAATCTTATCTAATGCCACTGTATTTAAAGAATACAGAATCTATCATTGCACACTGTGTTTATGTGTTGTTATTATTGTGTATTATTATTTTTTGTTGAAATCCACAAACAGTAATACATTGTTTGCTTTCTTCCACCAGACGTCCAGCTTCTCCCGTTCAGGATTATGTCCAAGAAGACGCCAAACCCAAACCCAGCGCCACCAACGACACTCCACATTTTGCAGCAGAAGAACTATTAATAATTGGAAAGACTGACTCAGAAACCTCGGACTTGGACGACTCTGTATTTGTGGACATGAACAGAGCCCGGTCGCAGCTGCCTCTGAGCCAAGAGGCGAGAAAGACCTCAACCAAACCTCCCTCTGCAGCAGGAGGCCGGACTAAAACTGTGACGGCAAAAGCAAAAGTTTCCTCTGATGCCACAAAGAAAGACACAGTCACTCAGAAAGAAAGTGGCAATGATCGAACTGTTTCAATGTTACCAACACTAAAAGACCAAAGCACTTCCTTAAAAACTAGACTTCCCAAAAGATCAACGTCTCCAGTCTCTGCAGATAAAACATCCATCTGTGAAGCGGCCGGTTTGAGCTCCAGGGCTAAGAGATCAGTGAGGTCCAAAGAACCTGTAAAAACCTCAGTCAGCACCAAACTAGAACGACGACCTTCTACAGAGGAAGTGCGAAGACGAGGAGAGATTTCCCCTTTGAAAAACAAACCCACAACAAAACCTATCAGTGAGAAGTCAGACGAAGGCGGTGCCAGTGCGGGTTTTGTGAATGGTTTAGACGGCAAAGACAGTAACGTTAAAACTCTCAGCAATTTACCGGAAAATAAGTCTGTATCAACAAGCAGAAGCCGGCTGCCTGTTACTCCAATCAGAAAGAAGAGTGAGGAGACTCAGGAAGTGCTTTCACCAACGGAGACACAGCCCAATCCTGACAAAGGTGAGTCTGAACACACATTATAGTATCAACAAAACATGTTCTTACCTCCGTTTACCTTCTGGGGGCTTTTTTGACGGCCTTGTAGCTCAGTGCATTCATTGAAACTGGAATAATATGTTTTTTGATTTGTCTTTGATCCCAACAGGAACCACATCATCCAGACACAAAAGAAACTCTGAAGATGAGAGAAGCGGCTCGCCTTCCAAACAGACATCCAGGATTAGTGATTCTAAACACAAGAAGAAGGAGCCGGTAGAAGCTCCGTCATCTCTGAGCAAACTCCCGACACTGGGACAGAAGACGTCCAAAACCAAATACAAAAGAGCTTCTGCAGTTACGCCTCCATCGCCTACGTCTAAACTGAAAGATTCTCCGGGTAAAGACACAGAAAGCTTAGATAAAGGCGATAGAAATACAGACAGAACCACGGAAAATCAGCAAAAAGAGACGAATGAAACGCACTTAGACAATATTAAAATCCCATCCACAAAGGCAGAGATTATGCCAATGGAAAACAGCAATAAACATGGCTTTATAGATGGGAGTGGCTCTTCCCCTGAGGATAAATTGCATGCCTCACTAACAGATGATATAAAACCAAAGCAAATTCGTAAAAATGTAGAATCTTTGGATTTGGGGTCCAGAGCAAACAGTCAAAACCGGCAAAAGAGTGAAACAGACACCGGCGCCAAACCTGCCGTGAATGACCAGAGCTTTGGTGACATTAAACCTGATCAGGAAGTTCTTTCACTTAAAGCGACAAATGAAGTGGAAAAAGACTTGGATATTAAGAATGAGAAGCAGCATTTGAAAGAGCAAGCACTGGCACCAGAAAGAGCCGAGTCGTCTGATTCTGTGGGGAATGATTTGAAAGAAGAAGGATCTGAGGACCAGGGTTTGAATCAGGCTGTGTTTGACGTTCAGACTGGGACTGCCAGCGACGGCCCACACAATGAGACCCTTTATCTGGCCCGGGATGTTACAGAAAAGAGTGATTCACCGCCAGATTACAACTGTCCTGCAGAAGAAATGAAGAGCTTAGAAAGTCGTAGCAAAGAGGAGCTCAAAGAAGTCCCGAAGTCTGCTCATGATCAATTATCATGTTTATCACCAGAGTTATCTAAACCACAGACTGAGGTTTTGAATGTCCAAGAAGAGACGGCTTTGCAACCGGAGGGAACAGATCAGGTTATTAGCGAGGTTGCACAGGCTAATTTGATTGAAAACAAGTCAGTGAATGAGACAGACGTAGATTTGCCTTCAAAGAAATCATGTGATGACAAAGAGAGTGGCATTTCTGGCACTCGCGTTCAGGGAAGTTTTGAAAAAGAAGTGAGACCTGAACCAGCTCCGATTTCCATTTCTGCAAATGATTCTCGAGAAAATGTGGCTGAGAATGTGACATTGTGTGACAAAAGGGAAACAGGAGCAGCAGTGGGTTATAATCGAGTTGGAGTTGGTGCAAAATCCACAGTCGTCGAAGAAAAAGCTGAGATTATGTTTAAAGAAGCACAATCTTTAGACAGAGATGACAAACAAGTGACTGAAGCTTTAGAACCCACAGCGAACGACCGCAACACAACAAAAGCAGAAATTCCATTTGAAAAACAAGAGTCTAGTCCGGTCCAAAGTACAGATGTGGATTCAGAGGTTAATCGTCAGAAAGAACCAAAGTTACCAGAATCCAAAACGGAAAGTCCTTCTGAAGCAAAAGAATCCAAAACGGAAAGTCCTTCTGAAGCAAAAGAATCCAAAACGGAAAGTCCTTCTGAAGCAAAAGAATCCAAAACGGAAAGTCCTTCTGAAGCAAAAGAGGAAGAAGTATCCGCACAGATTTGTAAAAATACAGACCGAGAGACTTCTGAAAAACAAAACGAGAATAACGTTGGACAAAGTGCATCAGAAAAAGCTGCTAGTGATATCAACGCACAAGAAAAGCAAGAAAATAAAACCGGAACTAAGATTGGTCCGATGAGCGTGACGACTTCTATGGACCAAAGTGAGTCTGTTATCGGCGATGGTCTGGACGAATCCAATCAGAAAGAAAAACTAAACACAGACTTGAAATTAGTGACTGAAGATGTTGCGGCTGCAGTAAAAGATGTAGGTGCAGCAAAAAGTGAGAACAAGGATGAAGCAGAAAAGACTGATTCTTTACCAAAGGGATTCAGTAGCAAAGAGGAACCCAAAGACACTGTTGTGGGAAAAGTAATATCTACAAAACTGTCCAAAACACAGACTGAGAATGTTCAATCATTGGAGAAAACAGTGATTCAGCAAGAACAGGGGTTTGGGACAAGTGTTCAAGAAGAACCAAAGTTAACGGAGTCTAAAATGGAAACTCCTTCTCAGACAAAAGACGTAAAAATAACCGCACCAATATGTGAAAATACTGAGACTTTACAAAATCTCAAGACTGAAGATACAGCAACCACAGTAGACTCTGTTGTGGGAAAAGTACAAAAGTCCACCTCTGATAGATTATCAAAAACATCAACAAAACTGTCCAAAACACAGACTGAGAAAGTTCAAGAAGAGAAATCATTGGAGAAAACAGTGATTGAGCAAGAACAGGGGTCTGGGGCAAGTGTTCAGGAAGAACCAAAGTCAACGGAATCTAAAATGGAAACGCCTTCTCAGACAAAAGACAAAAAAATATGTGAAAATACTGAGACTTTACAAAAACTCAACAAGAGTAACAATGGACAAGGTGCATCAGAGAGAGCTCAAATCAAAGCAAAAGAAAAACAAGAAACTCAATCTGAAACTAAGATTGGTCCAATGAGCGTGACTTCTTCTCTGGACCAAAGTGAGTCTGTGATCGATGATGGTCTGGAAGTCTCTAAACAGAAAGAAAAACTAAACTCAGACTTGAAATTAGTGACTGAAGATACAGCAACCACAGTAGACACTGTTGTGGGAAAAGTACAAAGGTCCACCTCTGATCGTTTATCAAAAACATCAACAAAACTGTCCAAAACACAGACTGAGAAAGTTCAAGAAGAGAAATCATTGGAGAAAACAGTGATTGAGCAAGAACAGGGGTCTGGGGCAAGTGTTCAGGAAGAACCAAAGTCAACAGAATCTAAAATGGAAACGCCTTCTCAGACAAAAGATGTAAAAATAACCGCACCGATATGTGAAAATACTGAGACTTTACAAAAACTCAACAAGAATAACAATGGACAAGGTGCATCAGAGAGAGCTCCTGGTAATATTGAAGCAAAAGAAAAGCAAGAAACTCAAACTGAAACTAAGATTGGTCCAATGAGCGTGACTTCTTCTCTGGACCAAAGTGAGTCTGTGATCGGTGATGGTCTGGAAGTCTCTAAACTAAACACAAAAGTGCAAAAGTCTACCTCGGATCAGTTATCAAAAACATCAACAAAATCATTGGAGAAAATTCAGCAAGTACAGGGGTCTGGGGCAAGTGTTCAGGAAGAACCAAAGTCAACGGAATCTAAAATGGAAACGCCTTCTCAGACAAAAACCGTTTGTGACAATAATCATCGAGAGACTTTAGAAAAACTGAACGAGAGTAACTTTGGAAAAGCAGAATCAGAAAGAATCTCTCAAGTCCAAGGAGAAACCCATGTCATTCCTGCAGACCAAGACAAAACCAAATCTGGCCTAAAATCAGTGAGTGAAGATGTTGCGGGTATCAGAGAGGATTTAAGTAGTAAGAAAAATAAAGTAGAAAACGCACTGCAAGATTCTGTTTGTAATGACAGCGAAGTAACCCAGCAAAAACATAGTCCTGCTGAAAGTCATTTGGACAAAGAAAAATCTGAAAATATCACTGAAAAATCTGATATAATAGATAATAATAGATCTGACATGAAACAAAGTGTTCAGAAACTCCAAGAACCCATGTCCCAACGGTTTGACAAAGAAATCCAAGAAGACGACGACGTTGTTATTGAAAAAATCATCATTAAAGTGCGAAAGAACGACAACAACACCAGAGAATTAATCAAAACCACTGAAATTGTGAAGCCAGAGATGCTACAGAGCAAAACCCAGTGGTTGGAATCATTAAAAGACGATTCTGGAAACGCAGCAGCCACGATAAAGGAGTCTCCCTCGGGCTGGTTAGATGTCGAAAACGGTCAAAAACATCCGCGAAAGAAAGACACCAAACGCAGACCGGAGTGTTCTGCCAGCGAGGACGAGGCGCTGGAGTCGGACGACCTGGAAGAGTTGGTCCGAAGTATTCAAGAAGGCGGAATGCCGTTCCCACTGCCCCCCAGGAGACACATCGGGAAGAAGCATCTGCATCCACGGTTTGCTTTGCCTGCCATCAAGGAGGATCGGTTTGAGAAAGCGTTTGACCCAGAAAAGTTTAAATTCGGATTGAGGAAAAAGGATTTCTTTCGGGATTTGTCGCCTGCTCAGATTATCAAGCAACAAGCATCAGCGCGAGAAGAAAACGATTCCCTGGATAAAACCATAGATGAAGACAAGCCCGAGGTGAATGGGAAACGTGCAGAGGAAGACGGGGTTCTGGATGAGCCCGGGCAGGAGGAGATTGTAAATAATGGAATTGGGAAGCAACCCTCGCGGCTGGACCGGATGTCTATAATAACCAGTCTGCTGTCATCTCCCAGGACCAGCAAGACCCACAAAGAGAAGCCGTCCCCTGCCCTGGAGAGTGCTCAATCTGTGGGTCAAGAGCAAGGCCGATCCGGGAATGAGAAACCAGTGCTTCCTGAGGTCAAAGCTGATAACGAGGGTTTGAAGACGTCAGATCAAGCCACGCCTTTCTCCCCGGCTTCTACTGAGAGCAGTGTCAATAGTGAGTCGCCCTTTAGTCCCTCGTCCGCTCTGCATTTCCCGGTCTTTACAGAGATCCAGCTTCCAGAGCATTTGGAAAAGTACATCAAGAAGAAGAAGAAGAATTGGGAATCTGAGGAAGATAAAAGTTTGGGGGAAACTGGTAAGATGGGTGAAAACACGACAGATGTGAAGAAGAACTCAGAGTCGGAGTCGGATAGAAGCGAGACAGACCTGAAGAGTCCAACTGTAAACTCAACTCCACAGTTTACTCAAGAGTCGCTTCTGACCAGGACCAATGCAAAGACCAAGGAAAAGACCAGGGCAAAGACCAGGGCAAAGACCAAGGGAAAGACAAAGGTAAAGATAACACACTATAGCAGGTCGTAAGGTACGCTAACCCTTTATCAACATTCTGTCTGAAACCTTGTTGTTCCATTTGTTTTTACCAAATCAGACCAAAACATGCTGCTGTTTTTAATTCAGACACATGTTATATTTTTACATACTGAGAGAGGAGTTAGGGCTGTTCTAAAGAGGCCAAAATACATGTATGTGAACACTAGTGGTTGGATTAAACAGTTTTGAGAGTGACAATGTGTGAAAGGTCCTCCATCTTTAATATCCTTTATTTAAACAAGAAAATGAATGAATACATAATTTGTTGATGCTGTATTATGAATGAATGAAAACATATATTAGTTTATGACGGCCCAGAAGTCGCCTAGATACGACATGTATGTTTTATGATGTTTTGTAGAATTAAAGTCTTATCTAAAAATAACTAATAGAACATTCTCATTTTTTATTTCAGATTCCGGTCATTCGAGGGGTTCACAAGAGACCGGGAAAGGTAAGTCTCATTGTGTGTGCATTTTGGGTGTTTTTGCTGTATTAGAAGATTTCTCATGAGTTTTGTCTTGTTGTTGTCAGATGGTTTTACACGAACGAGCTGAGTTTGCCGGAGAAACCTTTGAATTGCACCGCAGCATGGAGGACGCCACTTCACTGAAGCTGTCCCCGGTCGTCTCGGTCAGAGTCATCAGAGGATGGTACAGATATTATCTATCAATTAAATTCACTCTGTTCTTGTATCGCCCTAAATCAATACAATATTTATCTCGAAGGACTTTGCAAAAAACTGAATTCGCCGCCACAGATCAGAGAATCAAACAGATCGACCCCGCTTCGCCCTGTCAGTACTTATTATCCCTTACACAATACAATATAATACATTCTTGTGTCGCCCTACATCACAACAGCATCATCTCAAACTTAACAAAACCACCGAAATCAGCAACACAGATCAGAGAATCAACAGTTAAGATCAGTGGGGGCGGGTCCCGGCTCAAAAGTGGCCAAAATGACGTGTGCTGACATGCTGCAGTACCACCCCGGGCCTGTGGGGGTGGACCCGGAAGAAGAATTTACTTTACTAGAAGAATTTACAGGATGGTCCAAAAGTTGTCTCTTGGCCCAAAGCTCCGTTCCACATGTGTGTCAATGCTGAGTGTTCTGGACCAGTCTAGTTTAGTCGCTGTGGACTTTAGAAGTCTCTCGTTTAAATGAATGGAGCTCGTGCAGCTAACGCATGCGCAGATGAGTTTTTTCACATTTTCCAGCCCCCGCGGCCATTTTGAATCACTCCATGAAAGCCCAATTTTTGGCCCATTAGTTAGAACGACAGAGATAGGCGTGACTACGTCTGGTAATATTTACATGTACAGTCTATGGTTAAGACACAAAAAATACACATATCTATCCATAGTGTCGATGAATGTTGATGGTCCATAAAAAAAACTCTAAAAGTGAGAAACCTCAGAGAGACCCACAGAGACATATATGATAAATATACTGTTTATATAATTAGATAATAAATGTGTTGTTTTCAGCTGGTTGCTGTATGAGAAGCCCGGGTTCGAAGGCCGCACTATTGCTCTGGACGAAGGCAGCTCAGAGCAGATCGTGAATGTGTGGGCAGAGGAGGAGGTTCCAGTCCCAGACCAGCACGAGCCCACGGTGCCGCTGGTCATAGGGTCCATCAAACTGGCAGTCCAGGTAAGTCTGTTTCTATGATTGTGTGCGATTTTGTTTGTTTTTATAATGTATTGTGTTTTGGTGGTTTAGGATTACACTGTGCCCAGAATCGACTTGTTCTCAGAAGTGAACGGGATGGGAATGATGATGTCCTGCGACGACGAGGCCGTGGAGATCGGCTCCTACGGGAGACCGCAGACCACCGGATCCATCAAAGTCCATTCTGGCGTGTGAGTTATAAACAGCTGTTTGTCTTTCTCACTGTCGCTGTAACTTAGACACCGTCAGTTTTGCATTATGTTTATGATCAGGCATGGAGTGAGGTTTTTTTTCTAAATTGTTATGTGAAAGATTCTGACATTATACCAGATATAGAGGACTGCAGATATCAATAACTTAAGTAGATTAAAGAAAAATGTGTCTAAAAATGTAGAGAAATATCTGTGAGATGCCAGGTCGCTGTATAGAAAGTGATCCAGGAGCTCTTTTTGCGACTAAAGGGTTAATAATACAATATCCACAATGTAAAACATCTTGTTAAACACAATATTTATGTCAAAAAAAATGTGCTGGATTTTGAAGTATTAAATCACCGACGTAGACAGATACAGAGTGGTTAGCAATCCCGGTCGGAACAGGGCCTTTCTGAATGGAGTTTGCATGTTCTCCCAGTGTCTGCGTAGGTTTCCTCCGGGTGCTCCGGTTTCCCTACCACTAAAAACATGCACAGTAGGTCTGTGCCTCCTGCACTGGGACAGACTAATGCACACATCTGTAAACCACTTTGACTGAGAAAGGCGCTATATAAATAAACATCACTCACTTAAATAAAACGTCTTCAGTTTCTGTGAGAGTTTATCGCTTCCTCTCGATGTTGTCTCTGTTTTAGTTTTGAGACACAGTAAAGTTTGTGGAAGCCCTGGGCCCCTGTTCCACATCTGGTTTCTGTTCATGAAGAATGCATGTTATCAGTTACACAGTGGAGTAGTATCTCTGCTGGTCTCTGATGGTCTCTGCTGGTCTCTGATGGTCTCTCATGGTCTCTGATGGTCTCTGCTGGTCTCTCATGGTCTCTCATGGTCTCTGATGGTCTCTCATGGTCTCTGATGGTCTCTGATGGTCTCTCATGGTCTCTGATGGTCTCTCATGGTCTCTGATGGTCTCTGATGGTCTCTGATGGTCTCTGATGGTCTCTGCTGGTCTCTCTGATGGTCTCTCATGGTCTCTCTGCTGGTCTCTTCTGGTCTCTCATGGTCTCTCTGCTGGTCTCTGATGGTCTCTGATTGTCTGTGATGGTCTCTCATGGTCTCTGATGGTCTCTGCTGGTCTCTCATGGTCTCTCATGGTCTCTCTGCTGGTCTCTTCTGGTCTCTCATGGTCTCTCTGCTGGTCTCTCATGGTCTCTCTGCTGGTCTCTGCTGGTCTCTCTGCTGGTCTCTGATGGTCTCTCTGATGGTCTCTCATGGTCTCTCATGGTCTCTCTGCTGGTCTCTGCTGGTCTCTCATGGTCTCTCTGCTGGTCTCTGCTGGTCTCTCTGCTGGTCTCTGATGGTCTCTCTGATGGTCTCTCATGGTCTCTCATGGTCTCTCTGCTGGTCTCTGCTGGTCTCTCATGGTCTCTGCTGGTCTCTGATGGTCTCTGATGGTCTGGTGCAGGTGGTTGGTCTACAGCGACCCGGGGTTTGGAGGATTTGTGGGGGTCTTGGAGCCGGGAGAGTACGCCTGTCCTGAGAGCTGGGGGTTTCCACAGCCCTTCATTGGATCCTTACGCCCCCTGAGGATGGTAACACACACACACACAGACACACACACACACACACACACACACACACACACACACACAGACACACAGACACACACACACACACAGATACACACACAGACACACACATACACGTTTTTGTTACCTGGTGGGTCCCTTTGACAGGGCCGTTCAGAATGGGACCCATAGACATAATCTTTTTTTACTGGGACTACTTTAAGTAATACAAAACAGTCAATAGAAACCAAACAACTATTTTAAAGGAATTTTATTTTAGATTTTGTTTTCGAATTGCAGTGATTCTATTTTTGACATAGAATTTAATGCCACTCCATGTCCCATGTCCGATGTCTAAGGTCATCTGGTGAGGCATTAATGCAGGCCAGGCCAGGCCAGGCCAGGCAGTGAGACTTCCCAGGGACCTTTCCAGTCTGTATGAAAGGTGTCATGGTCTTCTCCACAGCCTTCACCTCAGATGCAGACCATGGCTTTCTCTAACGTTCTAGGGAGAGAAATAAAAATATATTAGCAATATACACTCCCAGGGTTAGGACCAAGCAGCCAGGCTGTAATCCCCCACCTGGTACACTTACCAGAAGGGGCACTGCCACTACCATGGGGTGCATCTGGATGAATGGTTGAAGGTTCTCCGCTTGAAGTTTCTTTTAGCCCGTCCGTTTGTGAGAGGATCTCTACTGCTCTCCCTGTCGCACAGAAAATAAAAATACAAGTGGCCTTTAGGGGAAAAAAATCATACATATTTTAATAATATCAAGAATTACCTTCAGGCTCAATTTGTATCTGGTCGAGGCTCTTTCCTTCGAATTCCGTCACTCTTCCCTGCTCCATGGCCATCAACACTTTGCTGATTTTGGCCAGCTCCAGTGTCCCCTCTGGTAGTCTGTAATATTGCCTGTGGATGCGAATGTCATGGCCGAGGAAGTTGGCAAGTATGTCCATCTCATTCTCTTTCATATTGAGAACTGTAGACATAGTAGCTATGTGCTTTCTAAGTTTGGTTGAGGATAGCATCTCTGGATGCACCGCACCACATTCTTTGGCTACCTGGCGTAGGGAGTCTGATCCCCTGATGTGGGTGTCTGCGCCCGGGCGGGAAAAGAAGTATGGGTTATGGTCAGAGATGGAACAGGCCCTTCTGTTCTCCACCAGCACCTCCATCGAAGCAATCATTTCAGGAGTCAAAAGAACCGGCACTTTCCGACTTCTTTTCCCTTTAATTTCAATGCGTTGAAAATGCTGACACAGCTTTTTCTCAAGTTGGGACAGTCCCAGAGCAATGTCAGAATGGATCCCAGTCTTACTTCTTAAGGTAAAGGCTGTCAGTGGCATCTTTGAAACCTCACCTTCCCTTCTTCGATTGAAAATGATGACCTCACAAAGAGTCAAAACTGCCAGTTTAGACCAATGCTTAGACGTTGGCTCACTTATTAGGGTTTGCACATATTCAGGTCGACATACCTCAATATGTGCATGCATGGCTCTAACGTCCTCAGTCAGAGGGAGCAGGTCCGGAGTGTTCCACTTGGCTTGCCGGAGGGTCTGTAGGGCAGCAGAAGAAACACAGACGTCCCACCTCTTCTCAAAAAGCAGCCGGCTTCGTTGGAGGTTTTTAATAAATAGTTCATCAACACAATGCTCCATTTTTGAGTCACATTCAAGAATATCTGCTTTCTGAGGCTATGGCCGAGTTTGAGGGCCAAGGATGGAGTCTTGTATTGATTTGTTTCCTCATCATATCCAGCCACAGACCTGACTGCATCAATCACATGGTTAAAGTTGGAAGGAATAAAGAAATCCTTAATTGTTCTCAGTTTCCCTGCGGTTTTTGCTTCGTTAATTAACCTACCGACTTCTCTCATTTTCTGCCTAATGTAATCATGCTTAGTCTTATCATGCCCGTGTTTTAAGTACAGGTGCTCTCCGAGTCTCAGAATCCCCTTTTCTGCTTTGACAACACCCGTGACCTCATCCTGATGCATTGCCGAAATTAAAGACCACAGCTTTGCTGATGCCCTCCGGTACAGGCTGGGCTAGGGAGCAGAGGGACTGGACCCTACTTCTACCTGGTTTAGCCTGGGCATCTTTCTGTGAAAGCCGGCACCTGGCCACATGCCTCCACAGCGACTTTCGCTTAAGCAATGCCCCACAGTCTATACAGTGCAAAAACTCACTGGATTTAACTGGGGAATTTGGCTGTTTAGCTGGGACTAAAGTTCCAATGCCGGCCTTTAAAACCTCAAAATTGTGCTCACGGTTTCCACTATTCCTGATCAAATCAAACTGAAGTTTACGTGCTTTAAATTTCACAGGTAGAGCCAATGCTCTGGCTACGTCACTTTCATTTCCATGTTTTCTAGTCAAATGACGGGACATTTTGTGGCAGGACATTGAACAGTAGAGGCAGAAGTGTCTCTTGCTGTAAACTCGCCCCCCATTTTTCTTCTTTTGCAGCTGCATGATAACAATCTTATTTGCCTTTGGTTCGTCACTTTCCGAGTCTTGAAGAAAAGTGTTTTTGATTTTTCTTTTTCCATACTTTTTTACAGGTTTCTTCTTGACAGTTAAATCGTCAGAATCTGAGTCGACTTCATCAATTAGGGACTCTTGACTAAGCTGCACAAACAACAAATAATTTGTAATCATTCTATATAACAATTTGAAGTCATGACTTGTAGTAAGCACTTACCAGTGGTTTGTAAGCGTGCGCTTCAGTGTGCTGCTCTGTGATTGGCTGCAGCCTAATGAACCACACACTTGCACCTTTTTCTAGCCTGACACCTGATTTCCTCTGTTGTGCTGCTCCATGATTGGCTCCAGCCTCTGTTGTGCTGCTCCATGATTGGCTCCAGCCTCTGTTGTGCTGCTCCATGATTGGCTCCAGCCTCTGTTGTGCTGCTCCATGATTGGCTCCAGCCTCTGTTGTGCTGCTCCATGATTGGCTCCAGCCTGCTGGACTGAAATTGCCCCAGTGTGCCCCTCCTTGATATCCCGCAACCCACCACCAGGGTTCCGACACATAACACACTTTTTTCAGGAAAGTAAACCTCCAGGGGTCCTTTCCATATTTTTACAGAGACTGCATAAGGACCGTTAGAAAAGCATTACCCATTGATTATTAAGCTTGGACCAGTGGGGTCCGGTGTTCGGGCCCCACCACGTAAAACCAGTCCCCATCACGTGAGTGGAATCTCAGGTTATGGAACCCACCAGGAGTTGAAAACAAGTGCATGCTCACACACACACACACACACAGATATACACACACACACACACACACACACACACACACACACACACAGATACACACACACACACACAGATACACACACACACACAGATACACACACACACACACACACACACACACACACACACACACACACACACACACAGACAGACACACACACACAGATACACACACACAGATACACACACACACACACACACACACACACAGATACACACACACACACACAGACAGACACACAGATACACACACACACACACACAGACACACACACAGATACACACACACAGATACACACACACACACACACATACACACACACACACACACACACACACAGATACACACACACAGACACACAGATACACACACACACACACAGATACACAGACACACACAGACACACACACACACACACACACACACACATACACACACACACACACACACAGACAGACACACAGATACACACACACACACACACACAGACACACAGATACACACACACACAGATACACACACACACACACAGATACACAGACACACACACACACAGATACACAGATACACACATAGACACACAGACACACACACACAGATACACACACACACACAGATACACAGATACACACACAGACACACAGACACACACACACACACAGATACACACACACACTCTCTCAAACAAGACATGTTGCTTAAAAGAAGAAATTGAATCCTTTTTTGTTATGAAACAAGGCTCATGTTCAAAGAACAAAAATGTGAAATAAGCAATAGTTGTAATTCTTTTTTTGACAGTTTTTTTCATTGTGGATGAGATTATAAATTCATGCTTTAAATCCCAATAATCCCACTGCTTCTTTAGGCTCCTCTGGTCCTGTTGCTCTAAACACCAGGAAACATGTCGTTACTGTCATTACAGTGGCTCAGTGTAGACTCAGAGCATTGGCCTTTGAGCCTGAAGGTCGTGGGTTCGAGTCCATCACCACAATCTTATGCAGAGGCCGAACAGCACGACAAGTTTATTTGTACAAACAGTTGGCCACGATCAGAACAATAAAACTGCATCTACTTTCTTTATCTGTTTCTTTTCATTTGATTCATTTAAAACCAATGCACCAACAGTATTGAGCATGAATGAAAAGGAGCAGAAACATGTAAACACTTATATCTGCCCCAAAATCATTTGCACTTCCAGTGCATTTGAGCCTCTAATGGCAATGAATACAATCACAATGTATATTTATCAGACCAAAGATAAATTGAAACATACATTCAGGAAACTATTATTAAATCTAACTTAATGACACTGATACAGTTTGTGAGAGTTACAGACAAATATTTAAATATATAAATCCTGGTGGTTTCTGCCCTGAACAGCAGGTCCCCACTTTCTGATCTTTTTTGGAATTAAAATTATTATTCATTTATGTTTTTCCTTTTTCTCGCAGGGACCGATACGAGTGGATCGACCCGATGAAGTCAAGGTGTGTTTTTGTTCTGATGTTGCTTCACACGTTTTCCATTCACGGATAATCCCACAGTCAGAAAGTTTGAGGATGAAGGAAGCATGAAGGAAGCATAAAGGAAGCATGAAGGAAGCATGAAGGAAGCATGAAGGAAGCATGAAGGAAGCATGAAGGAAGCAGAGCACGTGTGTTTGGGTTTCGACCTCGAGCCTCAGACTGTCGTGGTCGGTTCTAATCCCAGGTTAAGAAACACCAAGCCTGTCGTCACATGTCGTTTGTGGCGTGAGATTAGCGTTAATCCCACAAACATTAACTGCTCGTTTGGAAGTCGGAATTGTTTTGTTTTTGTCCCAGTCTTTGAGCAGAAGTTTCTATTGTAATTTTAAAGTAGAAATATTGTGCTTGAATATAATATAAAATAATGATTTAACGACAAAGATTTAAAAATAATGTCCAAAGACAGAAACAAGACAATGGACCAGCAACAAGGAGAGAGGAGCACAGGTACAAATAGACACAGGTACAAATATACACAGGTACAAACAGACAGATACACAGGTACAAATAGACACAGACACAGGTACAGGTGAGACACAGGTACAGGTGACACACAGGTACAGGTGAGACACAGGTACAGGTGAGACACAGGTACAGGTGAGACACAGGTACAGGTGAGACACAGGTACAGATGAGACACAGGTACAGGTGAGACACAGGTACAGGTGAGACACAGGTACAGGTGAGACACAGGTACAGGTGAGACACAGGTACAGGTGAGACACAGGTACAGGTGAGACACAGGTACAGGTGAGACACAGGTAGGTGAGACACAGGTACAGGTGAGACACAGGTACAGGTGAGACACAGGTACAGGTGAGACACAGGTACAGGTGACACACAGGTACAGGTGAGACACAGGTACAGGTGACACACAGGTACAGATGAGACACAGGTACAGGTGACACACAGGTACAGGTGAGACACAGGTACAGGTGACACACAGGTACAGATGAGACACAGGTACAGGTGAGACACAGGTACAGATGAGACACAGGTACAGGTGAGACACAGGTACAGGTGAGACACAGGTACAGGTGAGACACAGGTACAGGTGAGACACAGGTACAGGTGAGACACAGGTACAGGTGAGACACAGGTACAGGTGAGACACAGGTACAGGTGACACACAGGTACAGGTGAGACACAGGTACAGGTGAGACACAGGTACAGGTGAGACACAGGTACAGGTGAGACACAGGTACAGGTGACACACATCAGGGCGGGGCAGACAGTCGACACAGAAACAGGAAGTGAAACTAAAACAGGGAAAAAGTCCAAATAAGACCAAGTAAAATAACACAAAATCCACACATGATACTTTCATGTTTTAGACCAGGTGAGAGGTCTTTCAGTGGGGGCTTCAGGCAAAGTGGGGTTAAGTGTCTTGCCCAAGGACACAACGACAGCAGTCATCAGAGGGAATGAGGAAATAATACTCCGATAGTTTATTAATGGTACAATGACATCACATTATTACAGGACTGAGGTAGAAGCTTTTAGACAGAGCGGGAGTTTCAAGATTCAAGATTCCAGAATGTGTTTGCCATTTGCAGTAAAACCACATTGGAATAACTGTGCGAGGCTGCCCCAGTGTGCAGCAGACAGAGAAGACCAGGCGCCATTTTTACATGTTTGTGCCACAAGTGTCTGATATGAGTGTGGATGGATCTAAAAACACCCTCGGGTCATAGTAGTAATATGGACAAAAGAGAGAAGAACAGTTAAATCTGCAGCATATGTCTCCTTTAAGTTATGACCTTTATGTCAAACCAAAGTCATATATCATAGATCATATTTAGCCGTATTATGGTTGTGATGGTTCTTCAGCGTCGCCCTGTCCTCTCTCCAGGCTCTGGTGTTTGAGAAGCCCCACTTCGAGGGCGTGTCCCTGGAGGTGGACGCTCACGTGTTCAGCTTCGAGGAGCTACAACAAAGCGACGCAGACGACGGGGACCAGAAACTGTCTGCAGTCGGATCCTTGAAGATCATTGGTGGACTGTGAGTCAGATTTAACTGTTGTGAACATGGGATGGCCTTAGATGGTTACTTCATTCTTATTTGATATTTATATAGATTGATAGATATATCCCTTATTGATCCCTGTTGGAGAAATGCAGGAGTCCAGCAGCAGCAGAAACACATTCATCCAAACAAACAAAACAAATAGATCATTCTAACAATAATAATAATCAGTCCTTCAGGTCACAGCAGCAGGTGGAGGTTCAGACCAGTTTCTCTGCTCTGGTCCAAAGTAAAATGCTAAATGCTTCATTAGCATTTTTCATAAAGTTATCATTCCTCCAGTGGATTTTCACCTGATCCACTTGGTTTGGACCATGAATCCTCTCTGCTCTGGTCTGGACCAGTGTAAAACCATGAATCCTCTCTGCTCTGGTCTGGACCAGTGTAAAACCATGAATCCTCTCTGCTCTGGTCTGGACCAGTGTAAAACCATGAATCCTCTCTGCTCTGGTCTGGACCAGTGTAAAACCATGAATCCTCTCTGCTCTGGTCTGGACCAGTGTAAAACCATGAATCCTCTCTGCTCTGGTCTGGACCAGTGTAAAACCATGAATCCTCTCTGCTCTGGTCTGGACCAGTGTAAAACCATGAATCCTCTCTGCTCTGGTCTGGACCAGTGTAAAACCATGAATCCTCTCTGCTCTGGTCTGGACCAGTGTAAAACCATGAATCCTCTCTGCTCTGGTCTGGACCAGTGTAAAACCATGAATCCTCTCTGCTCTGGTCTGGACCAGTGTAAAACCATGAATCCTCTCTGCTCTGGTCTGGACCAGTGTAAAACCATGAATCCTCTCTGCTCTGGTCTGGACCAGAATAAAACCATGAATCCTCTCTGCTCTGGTCTGGACCAGTGTAAAACCATGAATCCTCTCTGCTCTGGTCTGGACCAGTGTAAAACCATGAATCCTCTCTGCTCTGGTCTGGACCAGTGTAAAACCATGAATCCTCTCTGCTCTGGTCTGGACCAGTGTAAAACCATGAATCCTCTCTGCTCTGGTCTGGACCAGTGTCAAACCATGAATCCTCTCTGCTCTGGTCTGGACCAGTGTAAAACCATGAATCCTCTCTGCTCTGGTCTGGACCAGTGTAAAACCATGAATCCTCTCTGCTCTGGTCTGGACCAGTGTAAAACCATGAATCCTCTCTGCTCTGGTCTGGACCAGTGTAAAACCATGAATCCTCTCTGCTCTGGTCTGGACCAGTGTAAAACCATGAATCCTCTCTGCTCTGGTCTGGACCAGTGATGTCATGTGTTTTGCTGATGCAGAGTTAGAGATAAGTATTTGATGTTATTTATGATGTATCTACATCTCATTCCTCTTGCTCTTCTGCAGATCCAACACTGACATTCTTGTCTTTGCCTCTGTCCTGTTGCATGTTTCTGCAGCTGGGTGGGATACCAGGAGGCAGACTTCGAAGGCCAGCAGTACGTCCTGGAGGAGGGGGAGTATGCACGCTGCGAGGACTGGGGCGGAGCCGGGGAGGGGCTGCTGTCGCTCAGGCCGGTGCTCTCTGTAGGTCCAGGCTTCAGTCAAACATAACTCCATCATGAACAGAGGAACTAGACTGTGCTTTCTCTTTCAGGACTTCCTTTCTCCTCAGATTAAACTGTTCTCGGAGCCAAGGTTCAAGGAGCGCAGCCTCAACATTGACCTCATGTGCCCCGTGTTTCACTTTGAGGCGGTGGGACACAGCACCAAGACTCAGTCCGTCCAGGTCCGGAGCGGAGTGTGAGTCTATCCACTTTATTGATATGGCACATTTACATAAACAAGCAGTACAACAAGGGAAAATAAATACAAATGGCAGCAAGCAAATAAATACACACATACTGTATTTAAAAACCCCCTTTAAAAAAACATATAAACTAAAAAAATATATATATACATTTTTTATAATTAATACAGTATAACATTAAAATACCACAAAATTAAATTAAAAAAACGCAAGCATCACAGAGAAGCCCCCCCCCCCTACAGAAGGTTTCTCTGGAATGGGCCTCAGAGACTTGTCTGAGGATTGTGTCATTCTACACACAGACACACACCCCTCACACAAACAGTTACACACATCCACACAGTTGCAACACACACTTTGCTTCATGTGTTTGCGTGTGGGGAGTAACAAATACATGTAATCCCAGTATTCAGATTACTCTTTCTGCTTTAAGTAAGGTTTATCTTTACAGTCTCCCCCTTGACTATTGTTAAGAGTTCAGATAATGTTCCATTCTCTGAAGACGGAAGTGAGTCCCGAACACACTGGTCCATCAAAGCCTCCGACCAAACACCCTCCATCCACTCACCACATTCAGACCTATTGTGCATGTTTTTAGTGGTAGGGGAAACTGGAGCACCCGGAGGAAACCTACACAGACACGGGGAGAACGTGCAAACTCCACTCAGAAAGGCCCTGTTCTGACCGGGATTCGAACCCAGGACCTTCTTGCTGAGAAGCGAGAGTGCTAACCACTCAGCCACCGATCTTAAAGCCTGGTGTTTAGAATACTGATACTTTCTGAAAAACACGGGACTATAAACGTTCTCACATCTTTGAAGGTTTAAAGAAAAGAAAACATTGATTATTCTTAAAGAGTTTATATTTTGTGGTACTTTGATTGTTTTACAAAAATAGATAATCAAAATGTGTGTTTAAACCTTTATTGTGGTTGTGGATTAAATATTTTTAAATGTACCTTCATACATTTTGTAAATAAAACACAAAACACAAAAATGATAATTAAAAGTATAAATAAAAGAATACAGGTGCTACCTCTTCCAAAGTAACAAAACACATGTTATCTCAGTACTCAGTATTTGTAACTGAATATATTTAGTGAGTATTCTCCACACCCTGAGCCATGATCCAGATTACTGAATATACTGTATATTGTGTATTTTATTTGCAGGTGGGTTGCTTTTGAAAACCCAGGGTTCTGTGGAGAGCTGTACGTCCTGGAGAAAGGTCTTTATGAAAGTCCAGACGACTGGGGGGCCGCGAACTTCAGAATCTCCTCCATACAACATGTGTTCTATGTACGATTTAAGTCAGAATATTTACTCTTGTGACGATATGATTTTATTAATGCTTCACTTTCTGACCCTCAGGATTCAATAAACAACAAAACCAAGTTTAAGGTACAAATAGATAGCTTAGTTAGCACTTTGTTAAATCTGTGTCATGATGGACAAATATCTGGACAAATATTTATATATATTTTTATTTCCAGGTTCAGTTGTTTTCGGAGCCAAACTTCCAGGGACAACTTCATCAAATTGAAAACAGCACGGATTCTCTCGACGACGTAGAACCCAAGTCCTGTAAAGTCCTGTCCGGAAGGTCAGCCCCAAGAAAAGAACTCATGAAGCAAGATTATTGTGGTAACGTTGACTCGAGCGGCTGTGTTTGACCCCAGTGTGTGTGTGTTGCAGCTGGGTGATGTATGAAGGGCCCCGCTACACCCAGAGAATGCATGTGTTAGAGGAGGGGCACTACCCCAGCCCCGAGGCCATGGGGCTGGGGTCTGAAAACACCATAATCCGCTCAGTTCAGACAGTCGGGCGTGTAAGTACAGACTTTACATGTGTGTAAACGTGAATGTGCTTCAATAATTTCATCTTTTGTTTGTTGTGCAGGAGTTTTCTCTGCCGTGTATCGTCTTATTCAGTAGAACAGGCTGCAGAGGCCGCAGGCTCCTGCTGGAACATGGGAGCGTGAGTCTGAACCAGGCCGGACATGACGGACGTGTGCGCTCCCTGGTGGTGGAAGGTGGAACGTACGTGTCTCTGGGCTTAACTGAGGAAGAGAAATACTACTTTTAAATGACTATAAAAATACTACTGATAAATAACTATAAAAATACTACTTATAAATAACTATAAAAATACTACTTATAAATAACTATAAAAATACTAGTTTGTGTAAGCCCTCAGTCGTACAGGGATTAGTCAAAGCAAAGGAAGGTTTCTCACCCATCAACTTGCTAAGAAGTACAGATGATGGGTGAGAAACCTTCCTTTGCTATAAAAATACTACTTATAAATAACTATAAAAATACGACTTATAAATAACTATAAAAATACGACTTATAAATAACTATAAAAATACTACTTATAAATAACTATAAAAATACTACTTATAAATAACTATAAAAATACTACTTATAAATAACTATAAAAATACTACTTATAAATAACTATAAAGATACTACTTATATAAATAACTATAAAAATACTACTTATAAATAACTATAAAAAATACTACTTATAAATAACTATAAAAAACTACTTATAAATAACTATAAAAATACTACTTATAAATAACTATAAAAATACTACTTATAAATAACTATAAAGATACTACTTATAAATAACTATAAAAATACTACTTATAAATAACTATAAAAAATACTACTTATAAATAACTATAAAAATACTACTTATAAATAACTATAAAAATACTACTTTTAAATTACTATAAAAATACTACTTATAAATGACTATAAAAATACTACTTTTAAATTACTATAAAAATACTACTTATATCTAGAGTTAAAATACAAATTGATGGTTGTGTGTTATAATACTTTCCTACAGGTGGGTGGTCTATGAAAGCAGTGGTTACCGTGGGCGACAGCTGCTCTTGTTGCCAGGTCAGGTGAACGACTGGTGTCTTCTCAGCGGATGGGAGCAGATAGGATCTTTGCGACCATTAATTCAAGTGAGTCAAACCCAACACCATGTTTAGAGAAAGTCAGACATTATTATTAAATTACATGTTATTATCGCAGAAGCAGCAGTATTTCATTGTTTAAATACATGTTATTATCGCAGAAGCAGCAGTATTTTATTATTTAAATACATGTTATTATCGCAGAAGCAGCAGTATTTTATTATTTAAATGTTATTATCGCAGAAGCAGCAGTATTTTATTATTTAAATAAATGTTATTATCGCAGAAGCAGCAGTATTTTATTATTTAAATACATGTTATTATCGCAGAAGCAGCAGTATTTTATTATTTAAATGTTATTATTGCAGAAGCAGCAGTATTTTATCATTTAAATAAATGTTATTATCGCAGAAGCAGCAGTATTTTATTATTTAAATAAATGTTATTATCGCAGAAGCAGCAGTATTTTATTATTTAAATACATGTTATTATCGCAGAAGCAGCAGTATTTTATTATTTAAATGTTATTATCGCAGAAGCAGCAGTATTTTATTATTTAAATGTTATTATCGCAGAAGCAGCAGTATTTTATTATTTAAATGTTATTATCGCAGAAGCAGCAGTATTTCCATCTGCGCAGTCAGGACACAGGACACTTGTTTTCTTTGACTGGATCCATGGACGACCTCAAACTGATGAGGGTCCAGGCCGTGGAGGAGACCGGGGGCATGGAGCAGGTCTGGGTCTACAGGGACGGACTACTCTCCTGCAAGGTACTTTTAAAGTTACTGCAGTATAATTACACTACTTCATACTTTGAGATCGCAGCGTTATTATGGTCAGAAAGTTCATAGTAGTAATTCTAACATTATGTGATAAAAATCTTGATACAAAAAGTGTGATTATTAAGAGTTGTATAGTTAAAGAGTGAGATTATTAAGAGTGAGATTATTAAGAGTGAGATTATGAAGAGTGAGATTGTTAAAGTAGTACTAAAATTTAATATGCTGCTATCCAGAGTATATAACTACAATATGTGTTTATAATATTTCGGGTGTTCATTTTGACATGTTCAGATGAATTATGTAAAAAAAACTGCTTTGAAGTGGCACCTTTTCACTTCCGCATAGAAACGCTAGGAGGCGCCAAAATGTCGGCGATGACGTAGGAGAAGGACCTCTCACAGCAGCAGCAGCAGTCTGGGCTGAATCTGTAGGAGGTTTCACTGTCATCTCAACAAGGTATAAACATGTTTACATCAGTTTGTACATAATAGTGTGCAACTCTTTTAACCTTTTAGCCTTATTTGTGAGATTCAAGCTAATTAGTGTTGGGCAAGTTAGCTAACTCTACTTGATATCATAAAACATGCTAACAAGGCTAATATTCGTTTTTACATTATGCCAGTCTCACTTTGCCTTAGATTTATTTACCACAATGTACATTGTAATATTCAAAAATGCTAAAACCTATTAACGGTTTAATTAGCATTTTTATCAATGATTGCATCACATGTGGTCTATGTTTTCAACTTCTGCAGCTTTTTGTTCATAAAAGTAAAATATTTATTTAATTCAAGTTATTTTGATTAGCATTTATGGATATTACAATGTACATTGTGGTAAATAAATCTAAGGCAAAGTGAGACTGGCATAATGTAAACACGAATATTAGCCTTGTTAGCATGTTTTATGATATCAAGTAGAGTTAGCTAACTTGCCCAACACTAATTAGCTTGAATCTCACAAATAAGGCTAAAAGATTAAAAGAGTTGCACACTATTATGTACAAACTGATGTAAACATGTTTATACCTTGTTGAGATGACAGTGAAACCTCCTACAGAGTCAGCCCAGACTGCTGCTGCTGCTGTGAGAGGTCCTTCTCCTACGTCATCGCCGACATTTTGGCGCCTCCTAGCGTTTCTATGCGGAAGTGAAAAAGTGCCACTTCAAAGCAGTTTTTTAAACATAATTCATCTGAACATGTCAAAATGAACACCCGAAATATTATAAACACATATTGTAGTTATATATTCTGGATGAGATTATTAAGAGTGAGATCGTTACGAGTGAGATTATTAAGAGTGAGATCGTTACGAGTGAGATTATTAAGAGTGAGATCGTTACGAGTGAGATTATTAAGAGTGAGATCGTTACGAGTGAGATTATTAAGAGTGAGATTATTAAGAGTGAGATTGTTAAACGTGAGATTATTAAGAGTGAGATTGTTAAGAGTGAGATTATTAAGAGTGAGATTATTAAGAGTGAGATTGTTAAACGTGAGATTATTAAGAGAGATTGTTAAGAGTGAGATTATTAAGAGTGAGATTGTTAAGCGTGAGATTATTAAGCGTGAGATTATTAAGAGTGAGATTATTAAGTGTGAGATGGTAAAGGGTGTGATAGTAAAGCCCCTGATGATTTAAAACCATCAGGCTTAAGCATCCTCCTAATCCCTGATGTAAGGATCTATGGTTTGGTCGGAGCTCAGGGAGACAGGTTCAACCCTTCACGTGTTTCTGCAGCTGCTGGAGGACTGTTTCCTGGAGAGCACGGGCACGATGCTGATGGCAGGAAGTCGTCTGTGTGTTTCCTCCGACAAAGGCAAAGAAAACCAGCTGTGGGACTTCTCACCCGACGGTTTAGTGCGCTGTCATCTGCGACGAGACCTGGTCCTGGAGGTCAAAGGTAACTCAGACTGTTTCCATGTTCAGAGGTTTTTATTCTACTTTGAGAATCATGAAAAACTTCACTCCCATCTCTGTGTGGAGTCAGAGACAAAGGCCCAAAATAACAACTGTAAACCGCTTTGACTCTGGTCTGAGAAAGGCGCTGTTACAGTTTAGTCATAGTGCGCCCCCTTGTGTTGGAAGTAAGAAGTGCTGCAGAAGAAATACTTTATGATAAAAAGTCATTCTTATCAAGAGTATTAAATAAATAATCCAGGGCAAACATCTCTGTCTGATCTTCTCAAGCTATTTTAAAAAGAAAACAAATGTGGCAGTGGAATATTTCCTATGGCCCCTGAACGCCCCACGGCCCACTGGTTGACACACTTTACCTCCTAAAGCTCTTTTTTATCATTTCTCTGCGACTTCTTTGCCAAATACTTTTATTATTAATCTCCTACTTTTGTCTTTTAGGTGGAAACCAGTTCGACAAAAACCAAGTTATTCTGAACCAGTTTGATGAAAGGAAACCAAACCAGCGGTGGACGTTGGAGCCCATTTAGTTTCTCTACAAAACTTATTTCATTCAGGATGAAGACTGTTTTCATGTGCCCTGTGTCTTTGCTGCATGTGTCGCCCCCTTGTGGTACAACTCTGCACCTGCGGCCTCTAAACACAGCCTTTATATGAAATGTAAATGTCCTTTTTGTGAATTGTTGTGTTTTTAGGTTTAACATTTTGAATATATTTTTACACGTCTGTAAATTCAATATAACATTTTCTCACAATATTTTCAACAAGAGCACTGCCCACTGTGACTGTAACATATGTAAATATAAAATAGAGACTCATAAAAATGCCAAATTTCTGTATCTCACTTTTTCATTATTACTTCAAATAACATTTTCCATCTTTTTTAATGTGTACACGTCAATTGGCTCCATTTACAAGTAGCACACATCATGTTTCCAGAACCCAGTGAGGTTAGAATCAGTTCAGGTTTTGTTTAAGGAACAAAAACACATGGTTTTAACAGTTTCTGAAGTGTGTATTATAACCACAGACTGAATATTATAACCCATGGTCAGGATTACTGATCTGAACCACGGTCTTTCCTCGTGCGTGTCCTTTCTCCATCTTCTCAAACGCTTTTGGGACCTGGGAAAAGCTGAAGACCTGCTCCACGACGGGCCGGATCTACCAAAGATCAAAGTCTCTTGTGAAATGTGCACAAGTTATTTATGTCTGTGTGATTGTGTTGAAGTCGCACCTGCCCTGCGTCCACCATCTCCTGTACTTCATCCAGAGCGGGGCCACTTGGAGCGTAGAAACCCCACCGATAATGAACTCCTTTCATCAAGTGCTGAAAAGCAGAAGGAGGTGTGTAAATGTTCCTGATTCTGTCATGGTTAAACTAGATGGTGCTGTAGGAGGTCTGCAGTTCTGAACAGACATTTGCAGACGTCAGATTAGGCATTTTAGAAAGGTAAAAATCTCACAACACTTCATAGTTAATTCATCTCCTGAAAGAGGCTCCTTTATAATTCATGTGAACTTGAGTCACGTATGCGGCTCGTGTGGTTATGACACACGACGAGGAGCGGCCAATGGGCATCGACCACAAATGCATCTGCAAGTTTTTGCTCTGAACCATGAGTCACTGCGGCTTCAACGGCAGGAAACTCGAGGACTACCACAAGTGCGCTGGAAAATATTGTAAAAAGAGCCACTTTCACAAATGAATGAGTTCATCATATATTTGTAAAAGTCTGCTACATGGAAACTAAGACTCACTTTAACAATAACCTGGAGATTATACCAGAAACACCATGAAGCATTGTTCAGTTTCTTTAGGTATACTCAATAATCATAAAAATAAAAATAAATCACAAAAAAGAGGAAAATAAAACAAGCTAAAATAACCTTAACGGCTTTTGTTGTCATGGTAGCGGCCGTCTGCATCATGCCGTCGGCGATCCCGAGCAGATCCGTGTTCTGGAGGAAGGGGGTCACGAGCGTCACATACTTGGCCCCAGACCACGGCTTCAGCAGCCCCAGGGCCCAGTGCTCTGTGGCCCCCCCGAGGTTGTCCAGGATCAGATCAAACCTGAAGAAGAAAGATTTTAAACCTAATCAACAGGCAGAGGAAAAGTAAATATAAGCCCTAAAAATATATATTTAAATATGATTTCTCAATGTTGATTGTTAAATACTTTTATCAAACAGTAAATATGTGTTAAAGTGAGTTATTATGAATGTTTTATATTTTTTAAGAAGTGAAAAACTCAACCAGGGACAGTCAAGAATCAGCATTTGTTCTAAACCAGGAGTCTCCAGCCTGTAGCTCTCCACCTCCTTCCTGGTAGCTCGCCAAAGGATTTAGAAATGGTATTATTCATTATCATTATTTATTATTGTAAATGCACTTACTTTGTCACTAGTAACAAATATGTGTTGATAAATATTTACTGTTCCCGATATCAGGCTCTTTCACACCAAAATATCACAATTTTTATCCCAAAGCTTCTTAAAGGAGTAGCTCTCTGCCTTTGTAGCCTCGTAAAGTAGCTCTCTGCATTTATAGCCCCGGGAAAGTAGCTCTATGCCTTTTTAGCCTCGTAAAGTAGCTCTCTGCCTTTATAGCCTCGTAAAGTAGCTCTCTGCCTTTGTAGCCTCGTAAAGTAGCTCTCTGTCTTTATAGCCTCGTAAAGTAGCTCTCTGCCTTTATAGCCTCGTAAAGTAGCTCTCTGCCTTTGTAGCCTCGTAAAGTAGCTCTCTGCCTCAGGAAAGTAGCTCTCTGCCTTTATAACCTCAGGAAAGTAGCTCTCTGCCTTTATAACCTCAGGAAAGTAGCTCTCTGCCTTTATAACCTCAGGAAAGTAGCTCTCTGCCTTTATAGCCCCCATAAAGTAGCTCTCTGCCTTTATAGTCTCTGGAAAGTAGCTCTCTGCCTTTATAGCCCCGTAAAGTAGCTCTCTGCCTTTATAGCCCCGGGAAAGTAGCTCCCTGCCTTTATAGCCTCAGGAAAGTAGCTCTCTGCCTTTATAGCCCCCATAAAGTAGCTCTCTGTCTTTATAGTCTCTGGAAAGTAGCTCTCTGCCTTTATAGCCTCAGGAAAGTAGCTCTCTGCCTTTATAGTCTCTGGAAAGTAGCTCTCTGCCTTTATAACCTCTGGAAAGTAGCTCTCTGCCTTTATAGCCTCAGGAAAGTAGCTCTCTGCCTTTATAGTCTCTGGAAAGTAGCTCTCTGCCTTTATAACCTCAGGAAAGTAGCTCTCTGCCTTTATAGCCCCAGGAAAGTAGCTCTCTGCCTTTATAGCCCCAGGAACGTAGCTCTCTGCCTTTATTGTCCCGGTAAAGTAGCTCTCTGCCTTTATAGCCTCAGGAAAGTAGCTCTCTGGGTGAAAAAGGTGAGTGACTCCTGCTGTACTGTAGGAGCTAAAACTTGAGGAGCTAAAACCCTGACACTAAGTATCAGAAACAGGAAGTGTAAAGTAATTATGTTTAATCATCTTTACTGAAAATGATTCGGAAACTTGGCAACCCGAGACAGAAGCGAGAACGATGTTGTCTCCATGGAAACCGCCAAACAGATGTGACTCATGCATGAGAGGATGAGAGGCCGGGACATATTTACTTTTCCAAGGCTCTCAGCGGCGGCTCCACTGGTCCTGCTGTGTAGTCCACCACATGGTCCGCCCCCAGGCCTCTCACCAGCCGCTCGGCATTCTGGGAGCAGGTAACGGTCACATGAGCTCCCCACGCCTTCAGCATCTACCAGAAAAACCCATGGTTTTCACACATGGTTTGCACACTTGTTTATTCCTAGTTTCACATGACGTGTTTGCGAAGACACAAGCAAAAAAAAACTCCAGTGACTTGTAACGGAGAGGTCTGTAGAGGTCTGTAGAGGTCTGTAGGGGTCTGTAGGGGTCTGTAGAGGTCTGTAGAGGTCTGTAGAGGTCTGTAGAGGTCTGTAGAGGTCTGTAGAGGTCTGTAGAGGTCTGTAGAGGTCTGTAGAGGTCTGTAGGGGTCTGTAGGGGTCTGTAGAGGTCTGTAGAGGTCTGTAGGGGTCTGTAGGGGTCTGTAGAGGTCTGTAGAGGTCTGTAGAGGTCTGTAGGGGTCTGTAGAGGTCTGTAGAGGTCTGTAGAGGTCTGTAGGGGTCTGTAGGGGTCTGTAGAGGTCTGTAGAGGTCTGTAGAGGTCTGTAGAGGTCTGTAGGGGTCTGTAGAGGTCTGTAGAGGTCTGTAGAGGTCTGTAGAGGTCTGTAGAGGTCTGTAGAGGTCTGTAGAGGTCTGTAGGGGTCTGTAGAGGTCTGTAGGGGTCTGTAGGGGTCTGTAGAGGTCTGTAGAGGTCTGTAGAGGTCTGTAGAGGTCTGTAGGGGTCTGTAGGGGTCTGTAGAGGTCTGTAGAGGTCTGTAGGGGTCTGTAGAGGTCTGTAGAGGTCTGTAGGGGTCTGTAGGGGTCTGTAGAGGTCTGTAGAGGTCTGTAGAGGTCTGTAGAGTAGGTCTGTAGAGGTCTGTAGAGGTCTGTAGGGGTCTGTAGGGGTCTGTAGAGGTCTGTAGGGGTCTGTAGAGGTCTGTAGAGGTCTGTAGAGGTCTGTAGAGGTCTGTAGAGGTCTGTAGGGGTCTGTAGAGGTCTGTAGGGGTCTGTAGAGGTCAGGTCTGTAGAGGTCTGTAGAGGTCTGTAGGGGTCTGTAGGGTCTGTAGAGGTCTGTAGGGGTCTGTAGGGGTCTGTAGAAAGAGGTCTGTAGAGGTCTGTAGAGGTCTGTAGAGGTCTGTAGAGGTCTGTAGGGGTCTGTAGAGGTCTGTAGGGGTCTGTAGGGGTCTGTAGAGGTCTGTAGAGGTCTGAGGTTAGAGGTCTGTAGAGGTCTGTAGAGGTCTGTAGAGGTCTGTGTAGGTCTGTAGGGTCTGTAGAGGTCTGTAGAGGTCTGTAGGGGTCTGTAGGGTCTGTAGAGGTCTGTAGGGGTCTGTAGTAAGGGTAGTAGGGTCTGTAGAGGTCTGTAGAGGTCTGTAGAGGTCTGTAGGGGTCTGTAGAGGTCTGGGGTCTGTAGAGGTCTGTAGGGGTCTGTAGAGGTCTGTAGAGGTCTGTAGAGGTCTGTAGAGGTCTGTAGGGGTAGAGGTCTGTAGAGGTCTGTAGAGGTCTGTAGGGGTCTGGGGTCTGTAGAGGTCTGTAGGGGTCTGTAGAGGTCTGTAGGGTCTGTAGAGGTCTGTAGGGGTCTGTAGGGGTCTGTAGGGGTCTGTAGAGGTCTGTAGGGGTCTGTAGGGGTCTGTAGGGTCTGGTAGAGGTCTGTAGAGGTCTGTAGGGGTCTGTAGGGGTCTGTAGAGGTCTGTAGGGGTCTGTAGAGGTCTGTAGGGGTCTGTAGAGGTCTGTAGAGGTCTGTAGGGGTCTGTAGAGGTCTGTAGAGGTCTGTAGAGGTCTGTAGGGGTCTGTAGGGGTCTGTAGGGGTCTGTAGAGGTCTGTAGGGGTCTGTAGAGGTCTGTAGGGGTCTGTAGGGGTCTGTAGGGGTCTGTAGAGGTCTGTAGGGGTCTGTAGGGGTCTGTAGAGGTCTGTAGGGTCTGTAGGGGTCTGTAGGGGTCTGTAGGGTCTGTAGGGGTCTGTAGAGGTCTGTAGAGGTCTGTAGGGGTCTGTAGAGGTCTGTAGGGGTCTGTAGGGGTCTGTAGGGGTCTGTAGGGGTCTGTAGAGGTCTGTAGAGGTCTGTAGGGGTCTGTAGGGGTCTGTAGGGGTCTGTAGAGGTCTGTAGGGGTCTGTAGGGGTCTGTAGGGGTCTGTAGAGGTCTGTAGAGGTCTGGTAGAGGTCTGTAGAGGTCTGTAGAGGTCTGTAGGGGTCTGTAGGGGTCTGTAGGGGTCTGTAGAGGTCTGTAGGGGTCTGTAGAGGTCTGTAGGGGTCTGTAGAGGTCTGTAGGGGTCTGTAGGGGTCTGTAGAGGTCTGTAGGGGTCTGTAGGGGTCTGTAGGGGTCTGTAGAGGTCTGTAGGGGTCTGTAGAGGTCTGTAGGGGTCTGTAGAGGTCTGTAGAGGTCTGTAGGGGTCTGTAGAGGTCTGTAGAGGTCTGTAGGGGTCTGTAGAGGTCTGTAGGGGTCTGTAGAGGTCTGTAGAGGTCTGTAGGGGTCTGTAGAGGTCTGTAGGGGTCTGTAGAGGTCTGTAGAGGTCTGTAGGGGTCTGTAGAGGTCTGTAGAGGTCTGTAGAGGTCTGTAGAGGTCTGTAGGGGTCTGTAGAGGTCTGTAGGGGTCTGTAGGGGTCTGTAGGGGTCTGTAGAGGTCTGTAGAGGTCTGTAGGGGTCTGTAGAGGTCTGTAGGGGTCTGTAGAGGTCTGTAGGGGTCTGTAGAGGTCTGTAGAGGTCTGTAGAGGTCTGTAGAGGTCTGTAGAGGTCTGTAGAGGTCTGTAGAGGTCTGTAGAGGTCTGTAGGGGTCTGTAGGGTCTGTAGAGGTCTGTAGAGGTCTGTAGAGGTCTGTAGGGGTCTGTAGTAGAGGTCTGTAGAGGTCTGTAGAGGTCTGTAGAGGTCTGTAGAGGTCTGTAGAGGTCTGTAGAGGTCTGTAGGGGTCTGTAGAGGTCTGTAGGGGTCTGTAGAGGTCTGTAGAGGTCTGTAGAGGTCTGTAGAGGTCTGTAGAGGTCTGTAGAGGTCTGTAGAGGTCTGTAGAGGTCTGTAGAGGTCTGTAGAGGTCTGTAGAGGTCTGTAGAGGTCTGTAGAGGTCTGTAGGGGTCTGTAGAGGTCTGTAGGGGTCTGTAGGGTCTGTAGGGGTCTGTAGAGTCTGTAGAGGTCTGTAGGGGTCTGTAGAGGTCTGTAGAGGTCTGTAGAGGTCTGTAGGGGTCTGTAGGGGTCTGTAGGGGTCTGTAGGGGTCTGTAGGGGTCTGTAGGGGGGTCTGTAGAGGTCTGTAGAGGTCTGTAGAGGTCTGTAGAGGTCTGTAGGGGTCTGTAGAGGTCTGTAGAGGTCTGTAGAGGTCTGTAGAGGTCTGTAGAGGTCTGTAGAGGTCTGTAGAGGTCTGTAGGGGTCTGTAGAGGTCTGTAGGGGTCTGTAGGGGTCTGTAGAGGTCTGTAGAGGTCTGTAGAGGTCTGTAGAGGTCTGTAGAGGTCTGTAGGGGTCTGTAGGGGTCTGTAGAGGTCTGTAGAGGTCTGTGTAGAGGTCTGTAGAGGTCTGTAGGGGTCTGTAGGGGTCTGTAGAGGTCTGTAGGGGTCTGTAGAGGTCTGTAGAGGTCTGTAGGGGTCTGTAGAGGTCTGTAGGGGTCTGTAGGGGTCTGTAGGGGTCTGTAGAGGTCTGTAGGGGTCTGTAGAGGTCTGTAGGGGTCTGTAGAGGTCTGTAGAGGTCTGTAGAGGTCTGTAGGGGTCTGTAGAGGTCTGTAGAGGTCTGTAGGGGTCTGTAGAGGTCTGTAGAGGTCTGTAGGGGTCTGTAGAGGTCTGTAGAGGTCTGTAGAGGTCTGTAGGGGTCTGTAGAGGTCTGTAGGGGTCTGTAGGGGTCTGTAGGGGTCTGTAGGGGTCTGTAGAGGTCTGTAGAGGTCTGTAGAGGTCTGTAGGGTCTGTAGGGGTCTGTAGAGGTCTGTAGAGGTCTGTAGAGGTCTGTAGAGGTCTGTAGAGGTCTGTAGAGGTCTGTAGAGGTCTGTA